TGCTCTCCATATCCCCTCAAAAACATTACTTTAAAGGGGCATTTTTTAGAGGGAAATGGAATTTTCCAAGTTTAATGTCTTTCTCTTGTAAATTATGTCTAGCATCCTGCTCACTATTTAGAATTTTGCAGTATTTACAATTTACTATTTACAAGGTTATAAGACATGTGACCCCACTACATTTTGGTATTTGCATTTATGATCATGACATCCTTGCCCCAATTGCAAATGCTCCCTAAAACTCACCTTAAAAGCTGGGTAGCCACATTAAGCAAACAGTTTTTTTTTTCAGTATGTAGAAAGATCTTGTAGCACTTTTGAGAAAGAAAGAAGTTGGTGGCATGAGCTTTCGTAGACTACAGTCTACTTCTTTGGTTAGTGCAGCTGCCTGGTTTTTAAAATGGGTTTGAGTGGTTTGGATTGGGAGACAGATCATAGCTACATGTTTCATGCAGGATCTCAGCCTGCAAGTTTATTTATAAATGCAGAAGTAATAGGTAGCAAGATATGTTGCTTTTAAGAACAACAACAAGACTATAACAAAAACTATAACCATTTACTTTTTTGGCCTTTGTAAATGAATTTATGTTGTGATTTTTGTAGGCCAAAATATTCTAGGTCAATTTTTGATGCCCCAAACAATTCTTTTTTTTTTTAAGGGATTTTAAAAGAGATAATCATGTTAAGTCTATTTCAGTATAAAAACAATGAGGCAGGGGGAGATGTAGTATCTTGTGACACTTTTAAGACTAAGGGCCTCGGCAGACGGAGGCCCCGGAGACGCCGCGGGTCGGAGCGCCGGCGGAGCTCAGCCTCCGCACCACGGTGCTCCTGCGGCGAATCTAAAAGGAGCTCCAAATTGGTGCTCCTTTTAGATTTCAGGGAAAGTGCACCCTAAAAGCGGCAGGCGCACTTTCCCTGACTCAAATGCCGCGGCACGTCTGGTCGCCGCGGTGTGAGGTCATCCCCGGAGCACTGGCCGTGCAGAGGGCCGGTGACTCCGAGGGCGACCTCAGGAAGAGGAAGGGGCGCTGCTCGTGCGGCTGCCCCTCCTCTTCTGGGCCCGGAAGATGGCTCAATTAGCTGTCTGCCAAGGCCCTAACAGATCTAGTTTAGCACAAATGTTCATGGATTGCAATCCACTTTCTCAGACGCATGAATGGAGTACACTATGCAGTATTCAGTATGCAATATTTTAAAAGGAAGTATTCAAATTTGGTCATAACCAAACTCATCCCTCTTACCTTGAGCATTATGGCAAGCAGTGTCAGCCACTAGATGGAACCAAACATGCACACTCAGGTGAAAAGGATGTCTTCCATACCTGATACCAGAAGTTGGCATCCAAGGACCCAGATACCTAGGAAGGCATAGCAGATGTGACACCTGTCCTACTATGCCCAACATTTGATGTCTACTGAGAAGCTGATGACTGTTCTGGGCCAAGTTAGTTCTCTGCTTACTTGGTATTCTTCTGTGCCTTTATATTGCAAATGAGAGGGTTCCATTATTTTGCTCTTCAATGTGATCAACAGGTTTCTGTCCATTTTGATTTAAATGATCTGGGATGTCTATCACTTGGGTTAAAAAGATACTCAAGATTGGACTGGACAGCAATGCCTAGGATTTCAGAAGGCAAGCCTTCCTTCACAGGTGCTGGCAGCCTACCAAACCTGCATTTTAAAGCACCCATCCTTTGTGGGACTTGGTGGCTCTTGAAGGCAAACAATAGCAAATTGTTTCTAACTTATGCTGACCCTACAGCCAACCGATCACAGGGTCTTCTTGGTAGATTTCTTCAGAGGGGTTTAATTCCCCTCCAATTCACAGAGGGAAGAAGCCACGTGGTGAAGAGAATGTTTGATGGCTGTCTTCCCCCAGGACTCTGGATCAGTGGTTTCCAGCCTTTGGTCTTCTAGATGTTTTGGACCAGCCCCTACAGTTCTTGACCGTTGGCCAAGTTGGCTGGAGATTCTGGGATCTGAAATCCAAAACAAATGGAGGACCAAAGGATGGGAATCACTGCTATTGATCATATTGCCTTGCAGTCCAGTAACAGAGGTTGCTCCTCTGTGAAGTTTAACTCAAAAAGCGCCAGATCATTCTCTGTTGAGGATCCAACACCATGTCTTAGCTCCTGGGCATTGCTGTTGGTCAGTACCTCAGCCCTGTCATATTGCTCACCAGTGCCCCACACATTTATGAATCTTACAAGTGGAAGAAAGTTTCTCAATATCACCTTTGCCCTAGGTCCCCAAACCCTCTGGGCAGTCCTATGAGACAGAGTGGTGTGATCCATCCAAACTGTTCTTATCTTATTTTGAGAGATTTTTCTCCTCATTTGGAAGAAGTTTTCTTGCAATGTGGTGGTCCAAATGCTGTTTTTCCTGGGAAAGGGAAAGGCAATATTGCCCAGTTACTATGCCACCCTTCACTCGCTTCTTCTATACACTTAGGCTATGTTGTTTGTTGCTGTTGTTGTGTGCCTTCAAGTCATTTTCAACTTATGGTGACCCTAAGGTGAACCTATCATGGGGTCTTCTTGGCAGATTTGTTCAGAGGAGGTTTGCCATTGCCTTCCCCTGAGACTGAGAGCATGTGACTTGCCCAAGGTCACCCAGTGAGTTTCATGGCTGAGCTGGGAATCGAACCCTGATCTCCAGAGTCATAATCCAACACTCAAACCACTGAGTACATTCCCCTTTCCTCCACAGGCTAAGGATGAACTGAATGAAACACCAGAGAAGCGTGAATCAGCTGTGAAAGAGCTTCAGGACCTTGTTCAGGAGAAAGCCAAAAGCGGCGAAGATATCTGCAAAGCAGTGGCTGAGAAAGTGAAGGGGAAGGACAACGCTTTCTTTCTCCGTTTCATCCGTGCCCGCAAATTTGATGTCAGCAGGGCTTATGATCTGCTTAAAGGTGGGGCATTTTACAGGTAGACACCTCTGTTCACTGCACCCAAGCTTACAGATGCTGCTCTGGGTCAAATTTCCTGTTACAAATAATATTTATGGTATCTGGCTGGATGTGGAGTGTGATAGCCAGTTGCCCAAAGTCAGAGCTGAAACCTACTTCCCCACAGATGGCAGGTGACCACCAACAAGCAATACCTGCTGAAAGTCCCTCTTGCGCACAACCATCCAAAGTACAAGAGTTCCCTCCAGCGTCTACTCTGGTAACCTGAGTTATAGCAAGGTAGTGATCAGGCAGGTAGGAACATGGTTAGAGATACTGACATCATAATTTTTGTTTTGGAAATATATTAGCCTTTTCTACAACAAAATGATGATCATTCCCAAAGTAAATGTGTTTAACATCAGGAGAGGGGAAGTAATTTTATTCCTGTAGTTATAGCAATGTTATGATTTATGTGAGATTAAAATGGAAAATTGCACATACCCAGGGCCTTTCTTTCTTTCTTTCTCTCTCTCTCTCTCTCTCTCTCTTTTTTTGGGGGGGGGGTTTAAAAAGACCTGCTTTGGAGCTTTGGTTGGTGCAGGGTTTTTGGTTTTTTTGCTATAATCTATTAGGAATATATAGGACCTAAATAACCTATTGGCACCAGCTGCTGTTTTTAATTTATTGTGACTTTTTGCTAATGCAAGTGAAACATTTTTAAAATCCTTCTTACAGTTAAGAAGTTCTTCGTAATGCTTAGGTGGAATCTCTTTTCTTGTAATTTTGAACCCCTTATGGAAAATAGATGGGTTCAAGAGCAAATCAAGCCTCAACTCTCACTAGAAACTGATGATGACTCAACTGAGGCTGTCATGCTTTGGACATATCATGAGATGACGTGACTCATTGGAAACCATGATAATGCATGGTAAAAATAGAAGGCAGTAGGAAAGAGGAAGGCTGCATTGCAGGTGGATAGACTCCACCAAGGAAGCCACAGTTGCCCTGAGTCTGCAAGACCTGAGCAGGGCATCTGAGGACTCTGAGGTCTATCCTTCGTAGGTCAATGGTGACTTGACGGCAAACAACAACAATTTAGAATTCTGAGCCAGAGTGCTCCTCTATTACCTCCCCAAACTACAACTCTCAGGATTCCTTAGGATGATGCAGGCCATGGTAGTTGAAGTAACATCAACAGTGCTACAATTGTGTGTTTTGAAAAAGCTCCCGGTATGTTTACTTTGGAAGAGGGAAATCTTTGTTTGCATGCACACACTGACTCTCTCTCAGAAGGAACTTTCCTTTCTGGCTTGTTTACTATCCAAGGACAGGGCAAGATGACCTGGCAAAGCATGTGAAGGGACCTGCATGCAGAGCACAGTGTTTGTATGTGTGTG